GGGTCTGCGCAGAGGAGGCGAGGCTGGGGGAGGAAGGGGCGGAGCCTGGTCAGGCCGAAGGGGCGGGTCACAGACGGTGCTCGGCCCTTTACCTCCCGCCGGTAGTGTTCGGTGCCTGACGTTGGCGCCTGGTGTCCATGAGGCTTGGTGTGCCCCCTCTGCGCCGCTGCACCGGGGTCTGCGCAGAGGAGGCGAGGCTGGGGGAGGAAGGGGCGGAGCCTGGTCAGGCCGAAGGGGCGGGTCACAGACGGTGCTCGGCCCTTTACCTCCCGCCGGTAGTGTTCGGTGCCTGACGTTGGCGCCTGGTGTCCATGAGGCTTGGTGTGCCCCCTCTGCGCCGCTGCACCGGCCAGCCTCCCCACCCGCGCCCGGCGACCTCTCCCAGGGTGCAGGGCTCGCAGCGAGGGTCGCACCGCGGAGAGGCTCTGGGGGTACCCGAGGGGACCCCTGGGAGACCTGGTGCACTCTGCACCCCCTGGAGAGAGGGTCCTGCTGGTTTATCGTTTTCTCACGTGGGCCGTAACTCCGGCACAGAGGGCTGCTCTGGGATTCAGGAGAGGGGTTTAGAAGGAGGACAATATATAATGATGTACAAAGGAGAGAATGGACACCACTGCTCGGGCCAGGCAGGCCTGGGGGGATCGAAGGCACAGGCCCATCCTCGACCGGCACCCAGTGGTGCTCCCGGATCATTTTCAGGGCGGGCAGCGGGCCGTGGTCAGCAGGCAGCAGCAGTCCTTCCCTGCTGACTTAGTCTCCTTGACCAGGACTGTAGCTTCTCTTTGGCTTCTTAAGCTTCTCTTGTCCCGACCATAAACAAAAATACACAAAATCATTTCCCTATTCATCACACACCTGGTCAATCTGCCAAGGAAGGGGAGAAAGTGGAGCCACAGGCTCCCTGTGTGGCACCACCTGTGGACTCACCTGCGTGGTCCCTTCATGCATGAGCCCTCCCAACCCAGGGGGGAGGAAGGTGAGATTGGACAGACCAGGGCACCTGCCTATAGCCTTGCAGCTTCAGAAATAGTCAGGATCCCCCGCCTTTCAGCTCAGCAGCAGAGATCCTCACAACCCTTCACCCCTCCCCAGAGACAGGAGGACAGTTTTGACAAGGGCTGGTCATCTGAACAAGACAGTTCAGAGGAGTCACCCCAATGAGATTACACCCAAACCCAGGCACTGCAGGTGTCCACGTTTACATCACTAAGAAGTGGAGAAGCTTCCAGGTCTGGGAGGCTCCTTGAGGTGACGGATCTGAGTTGGCGAACACTGAAGGCTGAACAAATGTTAACCTTGCACAACAGGAAGAAACTTGCTCCGGAAATTGCTCCCATTCATGGCCTTAGCATTTACAGGCCTCCACTCTCCCTCCCCAGACAGATGGTGTTTCAGATTTATGGTGCCCTCAGGCTGTCTGCTGCCCGGTAATCCTGGGGATGAAAGGTTGCTGTTCTGCACGTCCCGAGTGAGCGCTGGCTCCTTGTGCAGCTAGAGGTTTGGGGCTGCTTCAGGAAATTTGTTATTTTCCAACAATGAAGTTACTCTGGCTCACCTGGAGAAATCAGGATGAAACATAATAATAAATGAATAGATGAACCCAAGGCAGAAATGACAGGCGTGTGCTTAGTACCATGTCCACAGTGAGAAAATCTCCAGTTTGAATGGAATTCTTCACAGCCAGAGCCCTCCAGTATTGCAGCTTCCGTTCTGGCTCTGAGGTGCGAGTGATGGATGGTCTTAAACCATTGCCTCATGAGACATGATAAATGTTCCAAGAAAAAAAGTGGCATTGTCGGCTTGAGATCAAATACAACCACAAAATCCCATTTGGGGTCTTCTGGGAGGACACGGATGGGCCTTACACTCAGAAGTTTCTAAATGGAGCAGAGTCTGTGCCAGGAGCCAAGGATACCGATGTACCATTCGCTTACTGGAAGATGATGAATAAGAGACTGATGTCCCCAGATTTGCAACAATGTGCACAGTACTGGACACTGGGTTCCTCCTGGGGAGAGTCAGGAGCCCTGACTCAACTGTGTCCCAAAGCTGCCCTGCAGTGTTGCCCACTGTGAGCCAGTCCATGAGCGATTATAGAAAAGCCTGTAGAAGAGTCATCTGAGCAAAGGGAGGGAGACAGAATTCCATAAACTCCATACCAGTGAGTGTGACTTGAGCCCAGGGAGATGTCTAAGTAAGTGATTAGGTTGTTGGGCTTAGTGCTGAGTGATAGCCCATGGGGAGGCGGGAGGGAGCCGCAGTGAAGTGCTCCAGTACTGCCTGTGCCTGTGCCCAGTGGACAGCCTGCCAAGTGTCCAGTGCATGCCCCACTTGGGCACCCTCTTGTCAGCATCCTGGATGACACACACAGCTCGTGTCTTAGACCTACAGCCAGGAGGAGGCAGGAAGACTAAATTGCAAAATCAGGATCCAGACGGCTCAGTGGGTCAGGATGGGGGCCAGATGAATGCAGTGTGACACAAGGGGATGCATTCAAATCGTCTTTATCAACCTGACCACAAAGCGGTGTAAAACCAAAACCCAGGCAACAGCGCACCCTTACCTGTGGAAATGCCAGCACGATCCCAAACCCAGCACCAGACATGAGGACAAGACACTGGGAGAGCCTCCAGCTCTCTGACTGCAGTCTTCCCATCCCTCTCCTAAGGCCCCTCAGATGGATTGATTTAGGGCCAATTGGATAATCCAGGGCCAAACCCCACCTCAACATCCTTAACATAATCCCACCTGCAGAGTCCCTTGTGCTGAATGAGGTCACACCGACAGGTTCCAGGACCAGGAGGTGACATCTTGGGGACATTATTCTGCCCAGGACACTCAGCACGGCAGAGTACAGTTGTTAGAGGAACCATTCTGCTTGTCTCCCTGCGCCCCCAAGTGGTTAAACTCCTGTAAGTCAGTCAACACTAAGCCAGATGCTGACCCTGGTATGTGTGTGGGTAGTTTGAGGTCACTTTATCAGCCATGTAGAGTGGTGTACCCAGAATGTGGTTTCTCCGTGTCCTCGCCTGCATTTGGTGGTGTCACTGTTCTTACTGTAGCCACTCTGATAGGTGTATAAATGAGATAGAGGCTCTCTCGTAGTCCTGAGAGGCCTTGACAACCTCAGGGCTGGGGGACATATCCAGGAGGGGGTCTGGATTGGAAGCTGGCAGAGCCAGAGTTTGAGGCCACAACACAAGGTCCTGCATTTGGACTGTGAGGCAGGTTCCAGCTCAGAGAATGTTGGCAAAGTAGAAATATAATGTCAGGAGAGCTGTCATTCAAACTAGACTTGGATTGAAAAAAGGGAACAACCTTGAGGCAAGTTTAGAAAGTGTTTTCTGGAGAAGCAAGGAGGTGCGGGAGAGCCAAGGGACCTGCTGGGGAGGGGATGGAGCAGAGGACACCGCCGTGTGGGTCTGTGTGCCCGAGTCCGGGGTGGGAGTGGGGGAGCGGGGAGTGGGAGGAGGAGAGCTGTCCCATAGAACCTCTGCGCCTGTCTGTCCAAGAGCACATTGTTTCAGCTGCTATTGTTACCCCAACCTGGGGGGCTCAGGGCAACCCCCAGTTCATTTTCTGTTTCTTTTTTGTTTGTTTTGTTTTGTTTTTCCCAGTTCATTTTCTGGCCCGGTTTATTTGGTTTATCCTTCAGGAAATCTGGGCAGGTCACTGTGAGCACAATAAAACAGTAATAAAACAGTGGTTGCTCTATGTCTGTTTTATTATGCCAAAGAGGTTACTGGAATATTTAATTCTTAGTGGTGAAGATAAATAACAATCTGAATAATGGTCTTTGTTTATAAAGAGCTTTACAATTCGCAGCCCTGGGAGGTAGGTAGATAAGTGCCATTGTACTTTCTTACAGGTTCAGAGGTGGTGGCTTCCTGAAAATCCCCGATAAGAATCTGGGGCAGAGCCTGGACACAAACCCAGGGTCTCCAAGTCCCAGGACAGTGTTCCCCCAGTGCCCCAGGGTGGGGACTCTGGGGGCATGGCCCTGCCAGGTCCTAAGAGTCACAGGAACTCAGACGCTGTAGCCTTGCTCAGTTTGGAAGCTGCCAGGGAAACCGGCATGTTTTCCCACTTCCTTAGTTGGGCAAAACCTTTGATCTCCCCCATGGGCGGCTTCACCAAGTTAATCCTTCTTGACCTGTTTCCATCTCCTGTGTACTTTCTCTTGCACCTTAAACCTCCTTATGAAAACCAATAAAAAAGCTCAGGGCTCAAAACCCCCGAGGCTGTCGGTGTTTACTCCTCGAATCTTGGCAAACAGTCAGCTCCAGCCGCCCACATTCAGATTTCTGCACTCTTAAGAGGCATTTGATGAAATTTAAGAATGCAGTAAGTTAAAATTACCCACTGGGATGCCAAAAGGTGGAATTTACTTATAGAATTAAGTCCTTTAATCACTCCCTCTGTGAGCACCACCTTCCCGGCCTAGCCACGTGCTGGTTCCCTGCCAGGAAGGCACAGGGACCGGGTGCCTCTATGAGGCATGTCAGAAGCAGGGTCCTAATTAGGGTCTTGGGGAAACTCGGGGCTGGGCAATTCAGTGACCCAGGGCATCTATTCCCTCCAGCAAGAGTGAGGGGAAGATAGGGACAGAGAGAGGAGGCAGTGACCTCAAAGACAGGGCTTCTGAGAAGAGTGCTAGTGATTTTATAAAAGGAGGAACTAAACTCGAACTTCTTTACAGGTAAACTCAGTCACTGCTTAAGATGAAAGCAAGACTGAAGCCACATGCCAGGGAATGTCCTCGATTCCTCTTTCTAGCATGTGCCACGTTAGCCACTGTCTTCTCTGCCATGATTGCAACAGGCTTCTAAGTCCTTCCATTCCTGCTAGCCCTTCTCCAGGGAGCATCTAGAAGGATCTTTAAAAAAACATAAATACACCGCCGGCAGAGCTCAGTGGTTGAGCATCGATCTATGAACCAGGAGGTCACTGTTTGATTCCAGTCAGCTCAGGTTTCGGCCTCTATCCCCAGTGTGGGGCGTGCAGGAGGCAGCTGATCAATGACTCTCATCATTGATGTTTCTATCTCTCTGTCCCTCTCCCTTCCTCTCTAAAATCAATACAAATATATTTTTTACAAAAAGAAAAAAAATCACAACTGAGATCACGTCACATCCTCCTCATACCTGCTAAGGCCTGTCATTGATCCTAGAATAAACCCAGGCTTTTTACTCTGGCCTTCGGAGATGTACATTGCCTAGTCTCTCCACGCCCGCCTCCCATGTTTGTCTTCAGCCAGGACCTTTGAGAGAGCTACAGTCATTTTGTGTCCACAGAGCCCCAGGCAGATATGACATATGGGATCATTCTGGAAGGACTGACCTATATTTTAGGTCTGGGGGTTCCCACAGATGAAGTTTAACCTATGAACACACCATCAGAATCCTCCAAACACAGAAAACAAAGTGCCGTGAGTGAGGGTAGGCAGAAACACACAAAACACAGTGAAACAGATGTCGATGTCCAAATTCTGCAGCAACTGAAAAGATTTATAGTGTAGTACATATATTTAAAAACAAAAGCAGGAGGGTAAGGTATGACTAAAGAGCAAGGCTATTATAACTGACCAGGAAGATTTAAAGAGAGTCAAACAGAATGTCTAGAATTATGTGTATCAATGAATAAAATTCAGGAAGATGAACTAAGTACCAAAGCAGAGACAATTAGCAACATGGAAAATGATGTAACCGAAAAAACTACACAGACTTCAGCAGAGACAAGGAGGTTGAAACAGGAAGAGGTTAAGAGATTAGGACAAAATCACAGGAGAGTCAGAAAGTGTGGAAGCAGCCTTATTTGAGAGAAAATGGCTGAAATTTTCTATTGTTGATGAAGACACAAATGCACCATTAAAGTAAGTGCATTGTGTACCTAAAGAAGGGGCTACACAAATGTCAGAAAGAACATCTTAAATTCAGATGGGAGAAGAC